TCTTTCCCCCCCTTTTCCCCCCCCCCTAAAGTTACTTGTTCATTAAAGATGGCTGCTTCTTTGTCCCGGTCTTCTTGTTCTGCAGGCATTTCTTGTTGTTTCTTATAATTCGAGATCTCCATTTCTAATAATTGAAATACAAAGCCAAAAGAACCTCTCCCTTCTTGTGCATCTTCTTTGTACTTTTTAAGTTCCATTTTCAGTTCATCTAAAAGTAGTGCCATTTTAAAACACTTTTAAATAACCACCCGATTGATTTTAGTAATTCAAATGAAATAACCAAAAATCCAGAGATCACCAAATAATCCAAATGCTCCCAAGCTGTTTCTTCATGCTTCTTTTTCACGTTCTCTTCCTGGGGTTCTACTATTTTGTAGCCAAGTTTCAGTTAAAATGTATCTTTTAGAAGTCTTGTTGAGGTTTTACTGTAAATTCCTTTTAATTCCAGGCAGTCTCCTCCCTTTTTTCCAGATCCTGCCCTTTTATTCTTTTTCTCTCCTTTCCTGCTTTTAAAAGATTTTAAGTATCCAGAAATCTTTATTATTCCTTTGACATTTTATTTTCAGCTTAAATGCCTATTGATGTCAAAGTGGATTTTTTTTTCCAATTTCTTATTTCAATCTCTTAGCTGTCAGTATAGGGAAAAGGAGAGAAGGAAAAAAACCAAATCCTTTCCCTTTTCTCTCTCCTTCGCTGCTTCAAAATCTTCTTTGGGAACAATGTTACTTTTTTAAAAAAAGTTTAAATTCCAGGGTACCTTAGTTGTTGCTTTTGCAGTTTAACCCGGTCAACCAAAACTTTCTCTTCTTATCTTCCTCCTGCACATTCTTTTCCGGTCGAGTTCTTCTTTGAGGTGGCCATTTCTGACCACCTTTGGGAAAGGGAGTAATGGCCAGCTGAGGAGGAGAGATGCGGCTCTCCTCGACCCTGCTGGTGGTCTCCCCCCTCTTCACCACCTCTACGTGGTGGCTTAGCCCCGAAACCAGCCGGCTTGGGGTGCTCCAGTGGCGAGCAAGGATCGAAACCACGCACGATTGTGGTTTCAGTCTGTCCGCGAAGAGGCTCAAACCGCTTATTCTTGCGCAGGGGCCATGCTAATCTTCTCTGTATCGTTCCAATTTTAGTATATGTGCTGCCGAGTGTCTTTTGATGAGCATATGCATCACTGACTCAAACCATTAGGTGTTTCTACGAATCAGACTGGCTTAATAAATTTCAGTAACTTGGCTGTTATTTCTTCTTCACATTTGTCCTTTTGCTTGTTTTTACATTTCTAGTCTGCTTTTAAATTCAACTCAAAGTTATTTACAAAAACAAGGAGAACAAAAGTACTGATGTAGGGGGAGAAAAACAGACCCAGCAAACTACAGACCAATCAGCCTAACATCAATATTCAGTAGGATACTGGAAAAGATAATTAAAAAAAATATATCTGCGAACCTCAAGAAATGAGTAAAGTAATAACTAGAAGTCACCATGGGTTTGCTAAAAACAGATCATGCCAAACCAATCTTACTTCATTCTTCAACATAGTGATTAAATTAGTAGACCAGCGAAATACTGTGGACATAATATACTTAGTTTTCAGCAAGGCATTCAACAAAGTAGATCACAACTTACTTTTTGGTAAGCTAGAAAAAAGTGGGATAGATAGCACCACTGCTAGATGGATTCGCAACTGGCTGACAAACTATACTCAATGAGTAGTCCTTAATGTGTCTAAATCTACATGGAGGAAAGTGAGCAATGGGATGTCACAAGGTTCTGTCTTAGGCCCAATACTCTTCAATATCTTCATTAATGACATAGATGAGGGAATAGAAGGGGAACGTACCAAATTTGCAGATGATACTAAGCTAGCAGGAATAGATAACACCCAAGAAGATAGGCTCAATATTCAGATGGATTTTGATAGACTAGAACAGTGGGCAATATTTAACAAAATGTAATTCAATGTAGAGAAAAGTAAAGTCCTACACTTAGGCAAGAAAAAACTAAAGTACACATATAGACTGCGTGAAGCTGAGCTCAATAGCATGTGAGAGGGATCTTGGAATCTTAGTGGACAACCAGCTAAATAGCATGCCAGCAGTGTGCAGCAGCAGCCAAAAAAGCTAATGTAATCCTAAGTTGCATTAACAGGGATACAATCAAGATCAAGTGAAGTACTAATACCACTCTATAAAGCCTTAGTAAGACCATACCTAGAGTACTGCATCCAGTTTTGGTCACCACACTATAAAAAAAGATGTTGAGACTCTAGAAAAAGTACAGAGAAGAGCAACCAGGATGATTAGGGGACTGGAGACTAAAACATATGAAGAACGGTTACAGGAACTGGGCATGGCTAGTCTAGTGAAGAGAAGGATACTTTGGCCAGCTAAAGAATTTCCCCTCTGTATCAAGGTGATGTGATGTGACTGCAGAAACAAAGCTTAGATCCCAAAAGTCATTCCTACACACCACTGCAGGAGTTCCCTTTTGCACACAAGGGAGCTGCCTTCCTTCCTTTGCAGGTAGTTCTTTTGCTTTGCCCACATAACTTGCACAGTTGCTTAATAGTCATTAACTGGGAGAGCTAAGATTGCAGTTGTTGAGCAAAGCATTACTATGTGAGTATCTCACTTAATGCTTCACTCAATAAACCAAGGTTCTGGTTCCAGTTATAGTTGTAAGTCAAGGAGTTGTAGGTATAAAATTCTAAGCTTCATCATTGTCTAACCAAGCAAATAAACTTACATGGCTCTCGGTCTCTTTTCCTTCCAGTAACAAGATCACAGTTAGTTAGCTGAGCATAATCTGTGCAATCAATAAAGGGGATCTCCAAATCACTTAGCAAAGCAGGCCAGTTGTCAACTATTATATTCCAGTAATTTTTATAATGACTAAAGATGTTTGCCTACACCAGATTAGAATTTAGCCCTTAAGTGTTTTGTCTTTGCTCATCAAATGAGAAGAATTATGCTTGTCCTGGCACATAAAAATTGGGGAGTGGGACTCATTCTTGTCTATTTCTAGTAAGTGCTTGGCTTGGGATTCAAAATAGATGCATTGTGGATCCCAGTGATTCAACTCATAGCCCTGAAAATCAGTCTGGGAGAAGATATGACTAGCTAATTTTTCCCACTACATTTTTGTTTTAAAGCTCTTCTTTTCCTACATACTCAAGTTCTTTTGAAAAGATGCAAGCAACATGTAGTCAGATGAGGCAAGGAGGGAAAACAGTCTCCTACAGTAGACTTACCAGCTGATTCCTAATATTGAGCCATTGTAGCTCAACATTAGAGGGCATCATAGTAGGAGTCTGACCTTGAAAAAAATGAAGCAGGATTGGAGAGATTAATATTTGCATAGGAAATCACTTATGCAAATATTAGCTATGAGGGCTAAAAGTACAAAATGCCACATGACTTCACTAGGCATCAATCTTGACTCCAGGAAGTTTCACTATTTTTTATATCTAGAGGGTACTAGATTGGGGAGTAAAAGGGAGAAGAGGTATGCTGGAAGCAGTGGTGGGATTCAAATGTTTTTACTACCAGTTCTGTGGGCGTGGCTTGGTGGGCTTGGTGGGTGTGGCAGGGGAACGATACTGTAAAATCTCCATTCCCACCCCACTCCAGGAGAAAGTTACTGCAAAATTCCATTCCCTCCCCACCCCACTAACCTGCTTTCCAGCTCCTTTCTCCTGTGCAGGGCAACAAAAGAAGACCCAACCAATCAGCTTGGACTCGGGAGGCAGAGAATAGATGGGGCAAGGGCCAGTCAGAGGTGGTATTCTGAACTACTCAAAATTTCCACTACCGGTTCTCCAGAACTGGTCAGAACCTGTTGAATACCACCTCTGGCTGGAAGGAGAAATAAGAGTCAGAAATAGAGAGAAGGTCGGCTCCATCTGCTTTTGGTTTGTTATATATACCCCTCATTTACTTTTGTCCAACCTATCCTTGGCATGAAATGTAGCTCCTGCTACTTCTTTGTATGTAGTATGTAGCTTCGAAGTATGTAGCTTCAATAGAAGAGAGTTTGGCTCATTTCTGAATTGAACAAAAACGGGCTGAAGTCTTTGCAGTGATTGACAACTCCCCAGAGCTAGTCTTTGGAGGCATTTGCTGAAGTGGTTCCCAGCCAACGCAATACGACCAGGAAATGACCTTGTCAAGCAGTTGTGTGGAATCAGCCAGCATAGTTGCTATGCTGTGATCACAGAGGAGTTGTAGAGTTAATAATACAATTAAGCTCAGTAACCCTGAAAGAAGCTCTTGCACTTTAAATTGAAAAGGCTTGGAGCCTCTTGGTTCCACTTCTATGGCAAGATTGTCTGATTCCAAACAGGCCAGCAGATAGAAATCAGAAACTATTAATTCCTGGCTGTCTACCAGCTTCACTTGTTAAGAAGAGAATTGATTTTCTGCATCAGGCACGCCAAGCGCTGACCAAGTGCATGGCAGGTAGAATGCTGCAAAGTTGGGATAGATATCAGTTTGTCCAGTGCAAAATATTTCTCTTCAGCCTGTTTTCTCCCTCCTTTTTTCACCCCCAGGCTTATCCAGAATCAGATAACAGTTCAAGGAGCCAGGAGTTTAGCTGATGCTCTCCAAGACAATACTGCTCTCAAAGAAATCTGGTAAGGTCATCCATAGGGAATAACACCTACCAATGAGCCTTTAGCTCCATGCTCTTTGTGGAAACTTCACTAAATTGAATAGGGAGAAAACAAGAATGGGATGCCCTTGCCCTCTTAATGGAGCAAACTACAAGTCTCAGAAACCTTAATTACTGGCCCAATTGCTTAAACCTGCCAGAATTCAGCAATACTTGACTTAAAACAGTTTGTTTACTGACCATTCAAAGTTATAATAGTATTGAAAAAAGTGGCTTATGACCGTTTTTCACACATATGATTATTGCAGCACCTCCATACTCACATGATCAAAATTCAGATATTGGTAACAAACTCATATTTATGATGGTTGCAGTGTCCCAGGATCATGTGATCACCTTTATCAATCTTCTGACAAACAAAACCAATGGGAAGCCTGATTTACTTTCTAGCCATGCTACTAAGTTAATAACTGCAGTAATTTCATTTAACATCTGTGACAAGAAAAGTTGTAAATGGAGCAAAACTCACTTAACAACTGTCAGCAACAAAAATTTTGGGCTCAGTTGTGATAGTAAATCAAGGATTATCTTATTTGGATGATCACAGGTATAAACTAAAACATGCTTTTGTGGGTGGTTTCTGTAGACATTTGCATAAACTCTTTGACTCAGTGCTTTAGCTAAATTAAATATGCCTATGTGCTGCTTATAATTATATTTCCTTATCATTTTTGTGCTTTATGCAAAGGTGGGCAATTGATGATCCTTCAGATGTTTAACCAATAATGAGGGAGGCTGACAGCTGTAATCTATCAGTATCTGGAAGATTACAGATTTGCTCTCCCTGTTAACAAGGACACACAGAGAGAGAAGTTCCCTAGGTGGTGACTTATAGCCTCATCCTTATTTATTTATTTGATTTGTCAATTGCTTACAAGATAATAGGAATAAGTATAAACATGAATTAGAATACAGGAAATAGGTACGAATAAATGGGTACAATAAGACAGGGACGGTAGGCACTATTGTGCACTTATGCACGCCCCTTACACACCTCTTAGAAATGGGGTGAAGTCAATAGTGGATAGTTTAAGGTTAAAGGAGTTAACCTTAAACTATCCACTATCCACTTAGAGGATGTAACAACAGAGTCAGGTAGTGCATTCCAGGCATTGACCATTCTGTTGCTGAAGTCGTACTTTCTGCAATCAAGTTTGGAGCAGTTTACATTGAGTTTGTATCTGTTGTGTGCTCTTGTATTGTTGCAGTTGAAGTAGTCATTGACTGGTAGGACATTGTAGCAGATAATTAAGTGCAACCGTAGGCGGCGTAGTTCTAGGTTGTCCAAGCCCAAAATTTCAAGCCTGGTGATGTAGGATATTCTGTTGCGAGCAGAGGAGTGTAATACTCTTCTTGTGAAATACTTCTGGACTCACTCAGTTGTATTAATGTCTGATATACAGTGCGGATTCCAGATAGATGAGCTGTATTCGAGTAGTCTATCAAAGATTTTGTATGACCTAGTTAGCAATTCAATATTACCAGAGGAGAAGCTTCATAAGATTAGATTTACAACTCTTAATGCCTTTTTTGGCAATGCTGTTACAGTGAGCTCTGGCGCTTAGGTCGTTTGATATGAATACTCCAAGGTCCTTGACAGTGTGAGGGTTGCCAACGAGGTCATATCCGCCTAGCTTGTATTTTGTATATTGATTTTTTTTATCAATGTATAGGACAGAGCATTTGTTGGTCAAGATTTGGAGTTGCCAATTGTTTGACCATTCAGACACATAATCAAGGTCGCTTTGAAGGACAGTAGCATTGTCAGTGGTTTTGAATAGTTTTACGTCATCCACAAAGAGGACGCAGTTGCTTATAAGATGATTGCAAAGATCATTTATGTAGAGTATAGAAAGTGTGGGTCCTTGGGTGACACCACTGTTAACTGGAGCAGGCTTTGATATGGCACTCCCTATTTTTACTATTTGTTGCCTGTTTGACAGGAATGCAGTAATACACTTATGAAGGGATCTAGAAATGTTGTAAGAGTTTAGTTTTAACAGCAGTTTGTCGTGTACCACTGAATCAAAGGCTTTGCAGAAATTGCGTCCATTGCTTTACCCTGCTTGAATAGAGTAGTCCATATGTTTTTACAGTGTAGGAGTTTTAGATTGCAGGACAATTTTTTCCTAAAACCAAATTGTTTTTTGGAGAGTAGGTTGTTTTACTCTTAGGTGGAGGGTTAATATTAAAATGTTAAAAGCCTTAGTTAATGTTTCTTAATTAATTCCACCCAATTAGATGCATAAAAATCTGAAGGAAGCAGAAGAGATCCAATTTCATTTCTGTTAAATTGAGCTCGCATCACAATAATTAAAGCAAATTCTTGCTAAAGAAGAGGAAGCTCAATTTGAGATCACCTTCCCAAAACAGAAGGATCAACTAAGCATCATTAGTTTCAGTATCCCTCTGGCACTGGTTAAACATAGAGAATGTATGAAAGGTTCTGTTAGTGCTCTGAAGTTTTTCCATATCTTACAATCAGAACAGCCATATCCTAGAACAAGGGTCTTCAAACTTGGCAAGTTTAAGATTTGTGGACTTGAACTCCCAGAATTCCTGAGCTAACATGACTGGAGGAGGAATTCTGGGAGTTGAAACCCACAAGTCTTAAAACTGTCAAGTTTGAAGACCCCTGTGCTAGAAGAAACAGGCAATGGAAAGAGCCATAAAAGAAGCTAAGGAGGGAAAAGGAAACATACTTATTGATATAACCTGAAGAAACAGTTATTTTAAAAAACTTTTTTTTCTATTTTCCTGTTTTCAACAGCTTAAACGGAAACCCAATAAGTCAAGAAGAGGCCAAAGTCTTTGAAAATGAAAAGAGACTCATTTGCTTCTGAGAAAGTTTTTCAAGATTGGAGGTAATTGTCATGCCAGGACCATTATAGCTTTATCAGACCAATGTCAGAAGCCTGAAAATGAACCCAAAACTTGAATAAAATGATCACCCTGTGTGCATATCTTGACATTGATGCTTGAAAGGGGGATTTTGCCTTAGTAAACCAGTTCTATCCTAACAGCATTTGTGTTAGGTTTGTGGGATGACTTTGATTTTATAGCAGCTTTCAAGTTACATCAGCAGGAACCTGGTTCAGAAGACAACCCTTAAATGACACTGAAACTGGAGGATCAGAATTGAGGGGACCCGTAGTTCATCTGAAAAAAATCTACTATCTGCCTTCTCCCTTACTCCACCCTCCCTCAAACGTTTGCCCCACATTTTTTTGGTTTTGTTGGTAGAAAAGTATTTGGATGCTGCTGTTGCAACAGACTTAGATCTACCAGTGAATCCCTTTCTCTTAGTGAGACATAGCAAATTGCCTTCAGTCAGTTTTTCCTTTGATGCAAACCATAATTCAGAGGAAAGGAATTATGGGGCAAAGGAAAATGGCAATATGGATTTCTCCATAACCTATTTCAGGTATTAGTATTTAAGGTTTAGACCTGATTTTGCATTACCACCCCTTTTAAGGATATGGAGAGTTTTGAGAAGAATTGCATTTTTCACAAAGGTTGTGGTAGAGTGCAAATTTGTACATAGGTGACAAATTTGTACATAAGTGAATGACAGAGTCATTCAAAGTCACTGGCTTCAAAGTCATGGATAAAGCTTTTTTATATGATCTAAGTGAGGCAGGCAATGTAGAAATGTGTTAAGTAATATATTTTCACACAGCTAAAAGGGGCAGGGTTAGAGTTAGTTTGATCATCATTTAACTCGCCATTTTGAAGCCAGTAACCATCACTGGGGATATCCCTGTTCTGCTACTGGGTCACTTGGAAGTTGTGCTAATTTACTCCTAGATGTTAGGGAGAAGAGAGGAAATGCATCTAACATGCTGACATAAATTGTCCTTAATTGTGGTTTAATCAAATGATTGGGTTGTGTGAATGTTAGAATGTTACATATCCTTTGTTCATAAAACATTCTTTTTCTAGTGTTTTGATTATCCAAGGATATTTCATAAGGGCTGGATCTCAGCCTCAATATGTTGGAAGAGAGGTATGGTATAAATGACAGATATTTGGGGGATGCTCCAATATTTAGTTGTATTTCTTTTGCCTTGAATTATATATATTCATTGTATATAATTTCATTAGTTCTCTTCCACGTCCTTTCAAACATAGACAAACATTACACAAAACATAAATACATAAAACTTCTTTTTGGAAAGCGGCTTACCCCGGGTTAAATCTTTTTGTACAGACATAAATCAAATTCGTACTCACTTGATATACTATTTCATATCTTATTTAACATTCTATATTTTCTATATATTTTCTCTCTCCTATTCACTCTTTTAATTCTATTTTATTTATTTCATCTCAATTTAAATAATTATACTTGCATCTTTTGTCCGTTCTCTTTCCATCATCTATCCTTTCTTTCTAATACAGTATTTCTCCTGTAAACACTGATTGAAGTATGACAACTTTTTATTTTTCCCCTAAATTTAACACTTAAAATAATACATATTTTCCATACTGATTCTGCTTCTGCTTCGTACATTCTAAGTACTACATTTCAAAATAATAAAACAAGCAAATAATATTAAATTTAATAAGTAATAATAAAACAAAAAAAGGAATATTGAGTTTATGATATAATAAGAACAATGTTTCATAGGAAATTAAACTCTATTATTAAATCTTAAACATTTTCATAGCTTCCCTTTAATGCATTATTAACTCATATAATATTTTAATTTTCTAACTCAGTTTCAAATACTAATATCTACAATACAATCTTATGTACTTTTGCAGAATCATTTTTATAAAATTATATCTTACCCCTTATCTCTGAAAAAAAACCTGTTTTTTAACATCTTGTTTAAAACCTTTATGACTTCTCTTTCCTTTTTCCCTTCCTTTCTTGTCAATTCTAGCTTTTTGACCACCACCTCCCAGCCATCTCTTAATCTTCCCTCTCTGTTGTATTTCTCTTTTCTGTTGCTTTCTGACATCATATCGATTTTTCATCTTATTTTTATTTTTCTTGTTTGCTTTTTTAAGTCCTAAGTTCACCTTTTCCTTACCCCACTTTCGCTTTTCTTCCTCCACTAAGAGTATCTGTCCAGCCTTCCTGTCGTTGTTGTATTTCTTGATAGGTAGAGATCGCCATTTCTAAAAAGTGGAAAATAGATCCAGAAGAGCCCTTGTCTTCTTGTTCCTCTTCTTTCAATTTTTGAAATTCCATTTGTAATTCTTCAAAAGATAGTGCCATTTTTCCTTTTTTTTTTTAAACAACCCAAAAGCCTTTCAAGAAATAGTTCACAAAAATCCCAAAGTCACAAAGCAAACCAAATCAAATCAAACAGTTTCATTTAACACTTTCTTCTTTCTATATCTTCACTTCCTAGGGTAGAATTCAAATACACAGTTCCAAAGTAGTCTTCTAGAAGTCATAATATCTTTTATTTCTGATCCTATACACTTAAAGCAGTCTCCTTCAGTACAATCTTAAAATAAGTCTTTACCTCTTCCCTTCCACTTGTAGGAAATAAAAAGAATTTTAGATTTTTAATTCCAGTGTCCAGAAATCCTTTATCCCCTTGGCTTTAAATTTCAAGTTAGATTACCTTCTATGCCCAAGTAGGTTTTCCAGATTTCCATCTGCTGTTTCTGTGGGAAGGGAGAGTGAAAGAAAATAACTTTCCCTTTCCAGCTTTGTTCCGCTGCTTTGACAATCTTCTTTGGGAGACAATGTATCCTTCAAACGATTTAGTTTCCAGGGTATTTAGAAGTTTCTGTTGTCCCGGTTCAGCCAACACTTTCGCTTTCTCCTACTTCCTCCAGCACGAATCTTACCCGGCTGCAGGCTTCTTTGTGGCGACCATTGCTGCCCGCCGCTCCACTGCCTTGGGAAAAAGGGGTTTTGCCGGCTGAGGAGTGGGTTTGTGATACCCCCAAGCCCCAATTCGGATCCCCTCTCTCTTCGGCTGCCTCTATGGGGCAACCATATCCCCCAGATCCGTTTGGATCGGAGGCAACTCGGCAGCGAGCGCTGCAGGAATCGCGGAGGATCGCGAATTCCTGCTGCCGCCGAAGCCTTGCAAAACCAGAAAAATGTTTTACTTTGATGGAAATACAATTTATGTTACAGTTTGGTCTGAAGAAATGTATTCCCTTTTGCATATTATTTTGTTTCTCATCATGTGGCAGAAACTCACCAATATGTAATCAAAGTTCAATTTGTTGAATGAGTTATTTTCTTATTAAAGTATTTTTATTTTCTGTTTTTCTTGATTTGTATTTGTCCTGGTTACATTGTAGATTACTTTTCTTTCATATATGCAATACTTTTAAAAAGATATGTAGAAATGGTTTAATTAACACCACTGATTACAAGTCAAAGCACCTAGCAGTCCACATTTTAGTTTACCCATGACCATTGTTACCAAGAGGAAAAAGGCATCCTCTTGCAATCTTAAGATAACAGACATGTTGAATGAATTATTCTTTTGTAAATGACCAAATGTGATTCCTCTCCCTCTATGGCACCATATATTTGAAATCAATTCAAAATTTTCTTGTGGAGAAGTATAGAGGTTATGATTATCTTATACGAGGGTTGCTAGAATGAGGGGGGGAAAGGTTTAAAATAGTATTAAAATAATGTGAACGATGACCAGAAAAACAACATAGAGTATTCAATTCCATTTTTCAGCCTGAACTAAAAATAGACACTAATACATTACATTATCAGTGTAATATATTCTAAAAAAATTGAGAAATACAACATTGACAAGTCCTTTAAAAATAAATGAAAAGTAGGTTATCTTACTTTAAAGTTATCACTTTAAAAAAGCCCTCTTATTTATGCCTAAAATCTCCACAAATGTCCATATCCTACAACAAATTTGGGTTAAACGTATGCAGTTATTTAAGTAATTACAACTTATTTGTAGTTTAAGGGGCTTAACTGTTAAGGGGAAAATGTTGAGATATATAAAAGTCATGCCTTTCTGCTGTCTTTTGGCATTTTTTAGACTGACAAATGATTACAGTGCAGAATGTAGAAGTGGGCTAGGGTTAATATAAACCTCGGTTTTCCAATCTAAGGCTCTTTGCATCTCCTGGATTGGGGTAAGGTATCTATTCAACATAACAGGACAATCCCAAACTAAGAGAAGTTCACAACAGCTATCTACAGGCATAGTGACGGCTGCAGTGGCACATAGAAACATACAGATCTGGACCTGATTGCCAACTTGGTGACAGAGGACTCCCATATATTGGTATTTTCATTCTCAGGAATAAGTCAAAGTATATTTAATGGATTCCATGACAATTATGGGTTTGCTCCTAGTTATCCAAGTCATATGAACAGTTGTAAATATTAAATGGCTTTTGCCTCCAAATAGTGCTATATAATTTTGATGTGAATATTAAATCTGCTCTTTGTTGTGAATGGATTATTTCCTGGTCCATATGGAACTACACCCATTTGCTGGACAGCTGGCACAGCTTATGGATTCACCTGATCTCTGGCAGGTGCTTAGGAGTAAGTTGCTTGAGGACCTGGTGTGCTGCTGACAGGAAGACTTAAGTTTTTCCCATGAGGCCTCTCTATTGACCAAAATCAGTTGGTTCATTGGTTCTTCAAGGACCTTGTAAATATACAGTTGCCAAAGGAAAATCTGGGGTGAAGATGGAGGATAATGAAAACAGACCAAGCAGGGATACATAGTCCATTACAATCAGAGAGGTAAAATAATTTGTCCTTTCTTATTGCATCATCAGCTAGTGATTGTCAAATAGCTCCTTTTCAGATGGACAGTATCTGTTAGGATAAGGACTGTCCTATTGATCTTTCATTTGGCCACTGACCAGTTTGCTCCACATTTTGCTAGCAGGGTTGCTCCAATAGTATGATCTGCACTCCAGTTGATCTTCCAATGGCTTCCAGGTAGCAGGGTCAGGTAAAAATAAAATTAACTTTAAACATTTAATGAACTTTAATTACATGTAAGCAATACAAATATTTATCAGCACACTTAAAAATTTCCTCCTCCTGTATTAATATTAATGTATTAAGAATTTTTAGGGGATGCTCTAGGGATGCCCGGCAGTTGTAGAGCCACAGTTTCTACACCCAACATAGACCATGGCTTACTGAATGGACAATTTCATACAATGCTTTAAAGTAAATCACATTATGGCAAGGGGTGGTATGTAAATTCAACCATTCTCTCCCCTTCATGGCTATCTCAGCAAAAAGGGAAAAAAATAAACAGCTCTTCCTTCTTGGAATCACTAAATCACTTCATTTTGATGGCCAAATGCAGTTCTAGAATGAATGCAAGATCCAGCTGTTTCACTAGGTTTCTTGGAAAACACATTTTCAACTGCAAGGTACCATGGCAAAATAAAGAGCAATGGGAGTTGGCAGCTCATAATGGAGCTTTGTTCAGCAGAACTCAGGTCCCTGAAACTAAAAATAGGCTTGTGTTGCAAGTTAAAAGACACCAAACCTTTCAGACACCTTTCAAAAGTATTGTGCTAAATATAGTTCCCATGGAGGTAAAAACTGTTTTCATTTGGAGCCTTTTCCATTATTGTAAAAAAAAAAGTGACTCTGCAAACTGCAGATGAGAACCAGCAAATATGGTGATATTCTGACTGGCCCCGCCAACATTTATTCTCTGCCTCCCGATTCCCAGCTGATCGGCTGGGTCTTCTTTTTTTGCCCTGCACAGGAGAACGGAGCTGGAAAGCAGGTTAATGGGATGGGGAGGGAATGGGATTTTGCAGTAACCTTCCCCTGGAATGGGGTAGGACTAGAGATTTTGCAATATCCGTCCTCTGCCACACCCACCAAGCCACACCACGTCCACCAAGCCATGCCCACAGAACTAGTAGTAAAAATTTTTGAATCCCACCACTGCTCAGTTGGTATATCAAATACAAAGGGGTGCCGTTGGGGTGGTGATGATGTCAAAAAAAGTCAAGACCATAGCTGTAACCATGCAAATGCATACTTGTTTTATAATTTGTAAGCTACCCAGAGTCATCTTATAGGAAAGATGAGCATCATAAAAATAAATAAATAAACAAATAAATAAAGGATTGCAGCTGCCATTTTGACTTTTTGGATACCCATGTGAATCCTGCTGCAAACATGGTGACTTCACACAATGTTTGAAAATCTAAATGGAAGCTGAGGTAAATGTATGGGAAA